TGCGAAGTCATTGGTAAAAAGCAGTCAGCTTGGACTTACCAGGACTTGGCGTGAGCTTCGTCGTTCGGCACACTGCTGAAACAAACTTGCTCTAGGAAGGAAGCCCAAGAATCTACATGCAAAATCCCATCATTCTAGCTCTTATAGTCTTATAGTTTCCTTGATCTCAGCGTTCATACGGACAGAAGAACATGGCTAGATCGACTCGGCTAGTGATCCTGATCAATAATATATATATTTTTGGGGTTGGAAACGCTTCCTTCTGACTTTTTCTCTTACTCTACGAGTAACAGGTATAAAAATATGTATAAAAAAACTGAAACATTGATAATTCAACTTGATTTTTTCTTTCAAAATTATAAATAATGAATACTATGATTTTCAAATATCTTCACAACCTTAGTATTTTTAGTATTTACTTGGCGCAAGCAAGACGCGTCGATAATGACAGTTATCGAATATGCCCTCCTGAAACATCGATATATTAAATTTTGTATCGATTGCCGATACGAGGCTTGCTATCGAAGTTCGAGGCCGCTGGTCAATGTTTTCCCACCTCTATTTTTGAGAGTGTTTTTTTTGTGTTCGGTTCGCGGTTTCCAGTTGCTCCGCTTTTTATGGCCCGCTCTTAATCTTATCGCAAATCAAACCGCGGGCAATGAGAATTGTAATTGCATTTTTTGGCTAACGGCAACGGTTTCGCACAGTGGGCTTGAATTGGGATTGACATTGTATCCGTATCCGTATATCCATATATCCGAATATCGAATCCAATCCCAGAGAATCGAATTGTTAAGGTGAAAAAAATGCCTGTGAAGACAGTGAATCGTCAGCAGAGCCAAACGCCAGCCCAGCAACTGCAATTGCAGCAGCAGCGGGAGGTGGAAAATGGCCTTTATCCCACCATTCCGCCCGAGCGCCGCTCGCCCCCCTCCCGTCCCCAAACATTGCGACAGGACACCATCGATATGGAGGAAATACCCCTCAACCAGAACAACGCCCAAGAGCCCGAGGATCGCCGCAAAATGCACGAGATATTCGACAAGGTGGGTTAAGGCTTAAGTTATGTCCAAGAAATCGGTGGGTTAACCAAGGAAAGTAGCATTATCAGTAGGGATAATCTAGGGGAATTACCAAATTATATTCAAGTTATATATATTTAATGGTTAGTTCAAGAGATCTCAAGTATCTTGTGAAATTGCAGCAACACTAAGGTTAATACTGAAGTTATATCGAAGGAAAGAAATTGCTAGCCCATGGAAACCAATACCAACTTAAGGGTTAATGCAAGAACCTTGTGAAATTGCAGCCACAGTGGGGTTAATGTCAGTCCATGGGAAATTAGGGAAAAACAGAAGGAGAACCGTAATTAAAACACTCAGCCGGCACTTACATTCACATGCACATTTTTATTCGCTCACACATGTCCATATGAATGGAGTTGCTTGTTTATAGTTTTAGCCTTATAGCCGTCTTTTTCTCGCCCTCGGTGAAAGTTGAGTTTGATGAATCATCTGAGCATCGATCCGCTAGTGCGGCACTCCTCGCACTCCCCTTAAAACCCCACCTTTAACCCATCAACGAACTCAGGGCGAAAAAAGATACAAACCTATAATGAAGATGGTATATCTTATAGATAAAACCCATTGCTTTTTTTGAAAAATAATTTTTTAAGTGCAGCATAACACCAAATTATACAAAATATAGATTTTAATCTACATTTTTACTTAAAATTACAAATCCTTTAGTACATCATTAAACTACATTTACTAAAAAGATATTTCTTGAGACTTAACAAAAAATACCTCTCTGCATCTATTATTTGTGTACCTACATATATTTAATTTAATTTTAGCCAAAATGAAAACGCTTTAAAGTTACTGCGGTGATACTAAATATAGCGCATACTTGTATAATTAAATTCCAAAACGTGAAGAAATATTAATCATATATGACTAAAGAATCTGATGACAAATTTGAACAAGAAATTCTCGAAACGGTTTGTTTCAAAAAGTAAGATAAGAATTTGTTATCGAAATATTTGAATGTTTTTTATTGAACTTTTCCGGTTTCATAAATAGTAATGTCTCAAACATTTTAAAGCAGATAAGCAATTTCGTTTTGTAAAGACACACCAATATAATAAAAACACTTTTTGGTGGATTAACCCTTTAGGACACCGGTTGTCACTCAATTTAGCACCCACCACAGAGCTTAATTTTATTTCCTGGACTATTTTTTCTGCATTTTGTTTTCTTAACATTGAAAACCATAGGTGGGAAAAAAGGGGATGAAGGGGAGAGAGTTTTCTTATCGTGACAGAGGGGCGGCGAAAAAAAAAGAGAAATAAAACCGGTTATAAATTATTGTTTGCTCGCTTTGAGTTCTGCCTTCGTTTTTGTTGCTGTTTTATTCTTTGCTGGCGTTAGTCACTTAACCCCCGACTGGCCCACCGCCCCCCCGTTGACACCCAGCGCCCACCTGTTTGCATTTGTTGTTGTTGTTGTTTGTTGGGCTTCCATTATCAATTCCCATTTCTAGATTTCTGTTTCTGATTCTGATTTCTGGAACTGCGAATACTTCAATGTACATACTCCTCTTGATTCACCACCTCTTTATAAGGCTATAAACGTTCATTGGCCCCCGGCAACAAGAGAGATCCTACGATTTCATCAGTTGATTCCAGTTTTCTTGATTTACTTAAGCAAATAAGTACAAATTTTAGCATTTAATTAGCATAGAAGATGAGCTGCCCGCTTCGATTCCAATCCCATTCGATCCCATCTCCCTGGAAACCAACATTCCAGACACATTCCTCCTCTTCGCTGGCAATCTTATCTGGCTTTATTCGCCCCAAACATTCGAGTGGTCAAAAGAGAGGGCCAAAATACTGTTTGCGGTTTGTCAATCTTTTATTCAATAATCTAGCCGTGATATAACCCATATGAAATACAAAACAAATTACTTCGAAACGGTAGTCTAAGTAAAATCCTATCCATAACTCCTGAAAAACTTAAACAAATATTATATTATATATATTACAATGTGTTACTTTTAAACTTCTCAACCTTATAAACTTAGCGTAACTATGTTATTTAAAATTCGATATATCTGGTATTCCAGTTCTGAGTTTTTTAGCACTTAAACTACCAAAGAAAGCATGTAATTTTTTAAGCAGCTAGTTAGAAACTATTTCTAATTACCTCAAATATAGAGAATAAATAATGATAATAACAAATAATTCAAGGTAATAAATTGATAGACACCAAATCATATTTATCCCCCCAAAACTTCACTTGCATTTAAGTTATTTACAATATCAGATAATGAATACTATGAACATTATTTGCTAAAAAGCTGAGAAAGGTGCGAGTTAGACAACTTGTACTGTATCATTTTGATATTTCTAAAATATCATGTTGATATGTCACAGATAAGAGGCTTTCTGATATGAGAAAACATCAGATAGATGACCATTTTAGTTGATATTATTTTCAGTAAGCTTCCCAGGAAACTATGTAGGATCTATATTTTCCTATTATATCATTTTATTAATGTACGATCTTGGGGTGTTCCCATGAACTTATCAGAAAAAGTTCATTCGTTTAAAACATAAAAGTAGCTACTGCAATGACTGTCCAACCATGACTAAGACCAATTCCCTCAAAGACTTCATAACCACTACCCGCTTATCGCCTGATTGTCCAACATTTAGTAGTGTTTTTTCTTTTTTAAGAACATTTTAAGGTGTAATACATCAGACCATGTCTGGGATGGGGGCTTGAAATGACCACATGTGTACCTATCTAATTGTCTATAGTATATATTTTTGTTTCTTTTTCTGTTTGTGAAGCGAATTTTTAAGTGCGAATATTGACATTTCGCTTGGTTTTGTTTGCTCTCCTCATATGTTTTCCCAGTTTCTATGATTAGTTGTGTTAATTGTCGGCGTTTTTGTGTTTATTTGCTTATATGGACTAAACATATCCATAAAAACTGTTCATATATCAAGGAAAATAACTACTGAAGGTCTGTTTCTTTAGGTATTTCGATTACTTTCTCGAAACCTATTTGTTTAGACTGGATAAATGTACTTTTAAAGCCTGTTTATCAGAAAATGTCCCCTGGTATCCAAATGTTAGATTACATTCTTATATTACATTTATGGAAGTCATTTATTTATATTCCTTTGAACCATATTGTTTGGCCTAAAAACAGACCCTGACTTGAATGTATACAGTTTATAAAGAGATGGTAAATTAAATTTAGCCACATGTTTGTTTGCTTCTTTGAAAGTGGTTCTGTTTTATTATAGGGGGTGTCCCCATTTTAGGAAAAAAAAGGTCTGCCTATAATGAACTTCACAAATTACCCACAAATAACTTTTATTGGAAGTTGAAGATTACGTTTTCAATCTTCATTTGTTAAAGACTCAATTGTATACTCATATGTAGATGGTGACAAATTCCTTAAGTTATCGGCTAAGAAATTTTGTGACTATAATTGAAAGGTCAAAGCAGAGCTTATCTATGAGAAATTCTTTAAATGGCTAAGAAATCAAGCGAAAACGATAAGAAAATAACAACCATATAAGGGTTTTTGATAGAAATGATTACAAATTGACGGAAGTTAAGTTTAAAAATACAAAATGGCATTGTTTTTTTGGATTGAAAACAGGAAATTCCTTTTGTATTTAATAGAATTTTTTTAAGATTACCGTTTTTTAACCTTAGTGGCAGTTGTGCAACTGCAAGTGACTTTCGATTCGTTTTCGATTAGCCTCGTTTGGATTTCTAGTTTCTCGTCTCGATCGGTGGCATTCATTCCTGGCCATTTATGGACACTTTTTGGCCCGACTGGATTCGTTGTTATGTTGCAAGTGTCTCGATGAAGCAAAATTATTGAAGACCTGGATTTGGGATTTTATTTTCTTGACTCTTTATTGCCACATTTTGAATCGTACAGCATGATTTGGAAAAGTTCGCTAGACGGATTGCCCTTTATTCGGAATCTGAGGGCAGGTCAAAGTAGGTGGACTTTTGGCGATTTGGCATGAAACAAGTGGTTGCCACCGGCTCCTCCTCGTCGAAGACATCCTGCCAGGTGGGGTGCTCCTGCCAGTCGCTCTCCATTTCCAGTTCCTGTTCCTTCTGCCGGAGCAGGCGCATTCGCAATCGCTGCTGCTGCTGCTGCTGCAAAAGGATATGGGGTCGCCGGGGGGCAGCCACTTCGCAGATTAGCGATGTGAGGTTGACCAGCCAAGATGGCCGCAGGGATGACCCCGTAGTGCTCCTGCCGTGCCGCCCCAGACGCACCTGCACCTGCCGTGGCTCCAACTCTGCCAGTTCCCGCTTGGCAGAGGAGGTGCAGAGATTGAGGGCCGCGAAGAGACCGGCCATGCCCAGGTAGAGAATCAGGACGGTGATGAAGCCGGACGACTCCTGCAGCGGCTCCTCCTCCTCCTCCGCCGGCAGGCCATCGCACGGAGATGCCGGTGTCCAGCCCAGCCAGGAGGTCACGTGGCGGGTCATCTGCATCACTTGCGACATCCTCAAAGGGTTAAATCTGAAGGAAATTCAAGAAAGAATGAGTTTAAGCGTTAAAATATTACTCCAATTCCTGTATCAATGAAATCAAATCAAAGTTCCCTAATCAAACTAATTTTAACTTAATCTAATAAATAAATTTATATACACATGTACGTAGAAATACCGCCCGATAACCTAGTAAACTTACTCAATAGTTGTTCCGAAAGGTGTGTTTATTTTTAACGAACTCTTTTCCAAGCCAAAATTCTATCCATTCATACTGATTCTCAATGACATTCTAAAGAAATCTATCGATGGGTTACTAAGGTAAACAAAATGTTTCTTCAATTCAATCTGAGTTCCGTAAGAGTTATAAATGTCATTCTTAAGAAATGGAGGGTCTACAGCCAAACAAAGTGTTACTATCGGTGGTGTCACAGTATCATAATTGTTGATACCGAATGACGCCCGAAAAGATTTCCGTGACAGCCCCGTATAAGTGTACTGATATCATAATTCATTCTTAATAAAAATGTGTTTTTTTTTTGACTTAAGGATAAGTTTCTTAGTTTTGGACAATATAGATTGAAATTATGATTGAAGGAATTTAAATTTTAGAGACTAACGCTTTGAATAATGTATGCATTTTATAAAGCGGAAAGCTTTTGCTTACTATATAATTTGGTGTTTTCGATAAAGAATTTTAGGAATACTTACTTGTAGTATAGTTCCTGGTTTGCAAGAGGTTTCCAATTCCTAGTAAAACTTCTTCTTGATCCTGTGAACTGCTTAGATAATCCTGGCTATCCTGGTGTACAAATGTTGCTGTTGAAGGTTATCAAATTCTATTGAATGGCTGGATACTACTAATGGGCTACTTCAGGGTGTTATATTTTTTGTGTCGGTGCGGGCCTGTCCGCCCAGACGGAATTTATACTAGGAACTGAGTTTGTACTTCTTTTTTAGAAACCCACCCTGACACTTCTAGACAAAGCCTATTGTGATGGGATGTGAGTTGGAAATTATTCTATGGAAAAGAAAACTATATAGTATTATGTAAAGTATATGGTTAGAGGAATGTACCAGGGAGTTATTGTTATCATTAGAAGAGTTATTTGTGATTTGTATTTGAATGGGTCGAACTACTTATCTTCTCCACAAAGTATCAAAAAATCAGCAAATTTGGAAAACAAACAAAACCATATTCATTCCTCATTAAAAAAAAACCAAAAAAAACAGTATATCTTTTAAAATAAAAATTGCAAATAACTTTTTACTTAACATTATTATTATTAATCTCCAAATAAATCTCTATAATCACTATAATTTTAAATGATAATGATAATAAAAGGTTTTTTCAAACCATACAAAATTATTATAATGAATTTAAAAAGAAACATCTAAGCACCTAGATTACTAATTGTATATCTTACCTCCACAGCACGACTCCGACAGGGATGGACTGATCAGCACGCACGAGCTGAAGGAGCTCATCTCGGATGGGTATTGCCGGGATATACCCGCCTACATTGCCGAGCAGATCCTGAAGCGCAGCGATCAGGACAACGATGGCCACCTGGACTTCGAGGAGTTCTATGCGATGTCCCTGCGTCACAAGTGGATGGTGCGCAACATGCTCACCCGCTACTGTCGCTTCGTTGTGCCGCCTCCGAAGCCCTTGGAGGGCGACGAACCCGATGGCGCCTACGAGAAGCAGATGTCCATTTGCCCGCCGCCACTCACCATGGTCCTCTTCTCGATCATCGAGATCATAATGTTCCTGGTGGACGTCATTCACTTTCAGTAAGTAGTCGCCAGTGAACTTTCTGTATTTCGAACCACTTTCTTTATGGTAAACTGCAGATCTCCAGTTTCTCGGAAACTCTGTTTTTAAAATTTAACTATTTTTTAATGCCAGAGAAACTATGGTTAACTACTATGGTTAAACTATCAGATCTCCAGTTTCTCGGAAACTCTGTTTTTAAAATTTAACTATTTTTTTTTGCCAGAGAAACAATGGTTAACTACTATGGTTAAGCTATCAGTACCATAGATTAACATAGATTAACCATAGTAGTTATATAGAAAATAACTTAATGTATCTGTAATAAAATGTATTTGATATAATATATATTTAAAATTGTATTATAACAAAAGTTGTAACTGAAGAAGAGGACACTGTATTAATGTATAATATAAAAAATGCTTGGCATTTATTATAAAATATACTATACAATAATATGTACCCCCCTTTTAAAACTATACCTGGAAGGTGGTTCCATTTCAGAGATATCGTAAGATCGTTTCTAATATTTAACTTATCCACCTTTCAGAGATGATCCCAACTACCAGGATCGCATAGGCGAGAGTACCAGCGGACCGGCGGCCACTCTGTTTATCTACAATCCTTACAAGCGTTACGAGGGATGGCGCTTTGTGAGCTACATGTTCGTCCACGTGGGCATCATGCATCTGATGATGAACCTGATTATTCAGATCTTTCTGGGCATCGCCCTGGAGCTGGTTCATCACTGGTGGCGTGTGGGCTTGGTCTATCTAGCTGGCGTCTTAGCCGGATCCATGGGCACCTCGCTCACAAGTCCTCGCATTTTCTTGGCGGGTGCTTCTGGTGGTGTATATGCCCTGATCACGGCGCATATTGCCACGATTATTATGGTAAACATCAAATTTATTAAGATATTTAATAAGTAACACTTCTCAGAACTCCGTATTTTGTATTGCTTGCTAATAATACTACATTGTCACTTGAAACCTTTTTAAAAAACATGTAGTAGAATGAAGTACGTGAATTCTTTTGGTTTATGTTGCACCAGCATTACATACCTAAATCTAATCAATACGTAAACATTTTTAACCAACAGAACTACTCGGAGATGGAGTACGCCATTGTCCAGCTGCTAGCCTTCCTGGTATTCTGCTTCACCGACCTGGGCACCTCGGTGTACCGTCACCTGACCGACCAGCACGATCAGATTGGCTATGTGGCGCATTTGTCTGGTGCCGTCGCCGGTCTGCTGGTGGGGATCGGGGTGCTGCGCAATTTGGAGGTGCGCCGCTGGGAGCGCATTCTCTGGTGGGTGGCCGTCATCGTCTATTTCGCTCTGATGACCACCGGCATCATCATCCATGTATTCGTACCCGACTACTTCCCCAAACAGGAGTACAACTAGCCATAGAACTTAGCCCTAGCCCTAGCCTAGACCATGTCCAAAGTGCAGTTCGATGTTGAGCCGAGGCTGCAAGTACGCACAGTGCTATCTATAGGATATCAGATCCCTCCCATGCCTCCCAAATGCCGACCATGTGCCTATGCGAGCTGCGAACATAATTTATTATCTTTATCTTACACCTTGCCATGGCATTTTCATCCCATCCGTACGTATGGTGTACGTATTTTTATATATTTATACATATATATTCTCGATCTACATGACGCAACGAAATGTCTGGGGTGGTTTACCATTTAAACCCACACAGAGAACAAAACTCAGCTGCATTTGTATTGTACATTTCGTGATTTTTTTTTTACAAAGCAACGATTAATCAATGATAATGAGAAATATTTTTAAACAAAGTGTATTGTATATTTTTGGAGATTTATTATTAAGATCTTATATTTAAATGCAATAAAAACAAAGTCTTTGTATGGAGAAATTCAAAAGTGTTTCACTAAACTTATGGATTTTATTTTTAAATGAGTGCCAAAATGTACATGTGACATTTATATCTATTCTAAGATTGGTAAATTTGATGAGTGCAACCCGATCAATGGTTAGATCTGGGCTTCGTATGCTAGATTTAACCTATTACTATCTTATTTATTTATACACAAAATATCGTTGAATTTAAAATTCAACATTTCCCAAAAGTTTGTTATTTTGATGTAGTCAAGTAAACATTTTCCCACAGAAGGAGATTCTCCGCTTTATTGCGTTTAACTCCCATTACAAGTTGTTTTACAAATGTTCAAAATTATATGTATGTAAATACCCGTAGGTAAAAAAAAAAACAACGAAGCTGTTGTGTGGGTGTCAGGTTTTCTTTCTCCAATGCAATGTGCAGGTGACGATGAGACGTTTTTAACGCCGCTTAATTTAAGATGAATCCAAAAACAAAAATCATATATGCCGTTTCCTTTTCGAGAAGCAAAAGGGCACAATACAGTTTCCTTTTTGGTTCTCCAATCCTGTTGATTATTTGTGTAGTTTTGTGGTTGTGTGATGGTTCTCGAAGTGTCAGTCTTGGCATTCTCTGGTACTGAGAAAGGTTACTTATGAGCTATCTTATGGCACCTAGGCGTATACCCTGGGCTAAGCGAGTTCCTCGCTGCTCTCCTCTGGACGGGGCAGGAACTGAATGTTGGTTGTATCGCACATGGCCACCTTGGCGACGGTAAGCCAAGCATGCGGCATCATGTGGTGCAGAATGGCCTCCAAACGCTCTACTGGCAGAAAAGCCACACACTCTGCGTGGTCCAATTCCTGGCAATCATCTTCGGCAGAGCAGCGGTTGATCTGATCTTCGATCGGAATTCCGGGCACTGGACGCTGCACTGGTATCACGTCCTTTCCCTTTCCCTTATACAGCGTACCAGTGGCACTCAACAACTGGGTAACCAATCCCAGGCGGAACACAAGCAACTGCTCGGCATTATCGCTGATGGCCTGCATCACCGCATTTGTCATATTGGCCGTATTGTGCATACATTTCGGGGTCAGCAGCAGATCCGTAACACTGGGGCAGGCGGCAAGCAAGGGGCTAAATCCGCCGTCCACATCCACGTTCACCAGCTCCAGGCGTTTTACTCCACCCGCAATGGTCAGACCACGCATAATCTCGTCCACCGGGAACATGGCCATGCCCTTGTGATCGTTTTCCAAGCGGAACGAGCGTAGATTCTTAAGAGTGGGCAGCACTTGCTTGCCAAACTGCGTGCAGTTTAGGCTCTGGCATGAGCCCAACGCAAGCACCTCCAGACCGGGAAGGTCCTTCAAGAACATCATGTTCAGCTTGCCCAGATTGGACACTCCACGCAGACTCAACTCGGTTAGATTATGTAGATTCGCCAGCGAGCATAGCGATGTCAAGGTTGATTTTGGATCTGTCATGTGGATGCGAAGTATGCGAAGCTCCTCCGTCTGCTCCAAATGGGAAAGATTCAACGATGAAGTTGTGCAAGTGGCTCTTAGCTCCAGCAGATTGGTCAGATGACGGAAGACCAAATGCAGGAAGTCTGTATCCACTGCATCGGTGCGTAGAACGCGCAATGCTTTGAGGACGCGCAGGTCCCCGGTGTAGCGCAGCTGCGGCTTGGCCATTATCACGCCCATCATGTCCAGCTCGCGAGTGCGGTGGCGAGCCAGTTCACGAAGACAAAACACCCAGCTGCCGATATAGGTATCGCGCAGGCTCACCGAGCGCCATACACTCATTTCACGGCTGACCATGGCCCAGGTCTTGCACACACGCGACATGTTGGCACGTTCCTAGAGGAGACAAGTTAGAGTGACGTTTAATTTCCTTTTAGTTCATATGAAAAGCATAAGCATTTAACTACCTTCAGGTTCATTGTCTTCATGATGGCCATTAGCACCTGACATCCGTTGTGGGCATCTCCCAGAGACTGCACCAGG